AAAAAAAAAAGTGATCTTGATAGGCTATGCCATCACGTTATCAATCCTTCCTGAATTGAACGGCACTTTGCGAATCTGCTGTTTTCCTAAATGACTGGTGCACTGCAAGTCAACTTGTTTGGATGAACAAAATAACTATTCGTTGTACAAAGTATTCGATTTAGTTTTTGAGCATTTTAAAATTATCTAACAGTCACTTATCACCGTCTTCTGCAAACTCTATTTTCTATAACTACTTGACATTAACTTCAAAACTGCACTGATAGAGAGCAACGCTTAATTATAGCTTTCTTTTTATATCTACCTATGCTTTATTGTACACAAGAAAAAAAAAACAGAAAAATTAATGCTAATTTGTTATCTGAACTATTTATTTATTAATTTTTTTCTTACATATCTGAGGCAAAAACACGGTAAGGCCTAAGAATCCGTAATTAAACCAGGTGCATCTTAAGAAGTTCAGTTCTGTGTTTTGATAAACGTTAGCAAAAAAAAATATTTGTGTTCATCATTTCAGTGATATATGATTTAAGCAAACATATTTAATGCGGTAAGCTTAGACTGTTTGGAGAAAATACTTGGCTTATTTGTGTACTTGCCAAAAATATAGAAAAAGTAATTATTTGATTTTGTTTTATTTGTTAAAATTTAGCAAAAGAAAATATTTGCTATTTCTTAAAATATCAAAATACGACTTATGTGTGCTGATTTTGTATCTCAATTTATTCGCTTTTTAATCTTTGTTGGGTCACTGCACTACGTAACAACGCAAAAACAATTAAATTACTATTTTGTATTGTTATGTCGTTAACATAAACTTTGAATACCTTCGAATGCGACAGTGGAAACTTTTTAGACGCTTACGACTACTTACTTTTTCTATCGATCTGTTTTACAGAAATTTGTTGAAAAAAGAGATTATTTAGAAGCATAAATGCCAGCTATTTTCAAGCGTAGCAACAACAGTGATACAACTAACGATTGACTGTGAAAAATATATTGATGAAAGAAATATTAAAGCAGACATCTTTTTTTACTTCAACGACATCTGACTAAAACGAATGAACTTACATAAACTTTTATACTTCGCAATTTTTTGTTACAATTTTTTTTCTTTCTCACACGTTAACAAATAAAGAAATTAAAAAGAGGTGAACGCTGCTGAGAAGTTAGCAACCGAGAAGCAATTATATGATGTTCAGGCTTTGAGGTTAATTTGCAGTACACTAAGCAACCTAATTTTCTATCTACACAGTGTTACTTTTCACTTTATATTCGCAAAAAAAAGGTCAAAAAAGGTCTATTTGTAACGAGCAGAATATTGACACCAAGTCTTGAACTCGCCTTTGTTTTAAGTCATTGTATAAACTCGCTTCTGACTGCCAAACACTTGCTTGCGAAGTGTATAGCATGACGTGAACTTATTTAGGTGTTTTTTACACTGGAAAATTAGTTATAAAGTTAGCGTCAGCTAAGACTCTACTTTACTATTAGATTATTCATGCTTCCAGTAAAAAACTTCAGAATGACAATGCATTCAACTCCAAATCAATTGATTTAGTTGGCATTTGCCCGGAAAATTCAATATTTGGATATTCATAAAAGTAAATTAGCTGTTACTCTGAATTATTTACTTTTTGCTAAGCAAAAACTAGCAGTCAAAAAAAGCTGCGTTCAACTTTAAACCGTTTAAAGTCGCTGAAGAGGAAGTTGACGATAGCTGTCAGAAAACAAATTAAGATTTATTTTCTCACATAATAAATTAGTAAATTTTTTGCATGAAACATTGTCACAATTAAATAAATAAGAAGATAACATCGATTTCATTGCTAGTATAACCAAGAGAAAATATCACAAAGGGCAGATCTTGTACTAAAATCTACTTAAAAACTTAAAACGAGTATTACAACCTGCACATTCTCAGAGTCAAGATTAACTCCGTGTAAGTGAAAACAAGATTTTTTCACTTACTCAATGCATATATATTTACGAAATTGTACGATGAATTATTAATTGTTTTTAAGAAATAGACGAAGAAGAAGGTAAAAGCCGTCCGTACATGATGTTCAAGTAAACAAATTCTTTTACTGTAATTCCATAAATATATATATATATATATATATATATATATATATATTTGAGGAATAACGATACATATTAAGTTAGGAGATCAATGAAAAACACGGAATGTTAACAACGATTTGATAAGTAGACAATCGCCCAAAAAATTTCAAGTTTTCAACAACTTGAAGTATGTAAGTAACGTTTTGTTCCTAATTGCGATGAGCATTTTTCAGACAGTATCCCCAGAATACGACCAGCATCAAATACCTACAAAAGTGATAGCTCAGTTTGTCGTTAATAAGACTTTCATTTTTGGAGAAATCAATTCTACACTTACTTAAATGCTTTATATCGCAGAATTCAGAAACATAAATGTTGCAGATAAGGAAACCTGTTTGAAAATGTCGTTTGCCTCTGTTTGTGTCTTGTTCATCAACGTTAGTTGCGCTCTGAGCAATCGCACGTTCCAAGCAAAATTTTCGGAAGCTCTTGCAGCCTTAAGACCTCTAAGACCTGCACTGATACAGAGACTCGCTAATTCCTCATACGATTCGCTAATTCGTTTTGTTGCATCTTCCAGCTCAATAGGTTCGATTTATAAAATATAATGTATCCTACTGAAGTACTAGATGATACGCGGGTTAAATGCTACGACTCTTCGTATGAGATGTCAGACGTTCACTACACGTTTCAATCAAATTTTGCTGTCCCTCATAATCTAAAGTTGCCCAAATTTTTTTAACAAATATAAACAAAAATAAATTGATCATCACTACTTTGGTAAGAAGTTGATCTGTTTTTGAAAGAATAGTTGTACAAATGCGCAATAACGTAGCGAACGAAACAAGCGTTTTTTGTAAATGGTCGGGGAATTCGCCAAACATACAGATCACAGGATGCTGAAAGAAGGTAAGGGAAAGAACTTCATACTGTTTTGAAAAAATGTCTTCAATATAAACAGAAGAATCATTTAAAAATTGATCCACATTTAAATTCAATATACATTTTTTTCATCACTTGTGATCTGAAAACGTGGAACGCCGGCCTGCGTTTTAGATGAATATATACGACCACTAGAAGCTGGAGACAGTGGTGGTGAGGCTGTAACAGACGTATGTTTAAGAACGATAATGACGATTAATGTCTAAACAGAACTCAGAAACATCTGTCATCAACCTTCTGACAATAAATAAATGATCTAATTTATTAAATTAAAAATAGTGTTATGCGTCGCCAACTGTTACAAGTGTCTCACCATTCATAGCGGCCGTTTTCGTTCGAGCGTGCATAAGTCTAAGGCCCTGTCGAATAGTTCCTGCTGGCCCAAGACCACAGTGTTCTTGCCAATCAACCTGAAAAGCAAACCAAGCAAATATACACCGTGAGAGGATGAAACCCAATAAATTTATATCAAATCATTGAACCCAAAAATGTTAGTAAATTAAAGTGGCTTCAGATTCACCATTGCCGCTTCAAGTTTATTACGCAAGTCGATTGAGTCGGCCAAAGGCGCAACGGCAAATTTGAACAAATCATCAACAGATTTGACGCCCGTCATTTTCATACCGGTATTTACCCGTTGCATTTTCCTTTTTACCGACATTCCACGCTTTCTAGGCTTCTAGAATTTAGTTTACTGTTACAAATACCAAAAAATCAAATAAATTGAAAGAAGCAAGAATTAAAAATTGCGTCCCAGCGAGCTTAAATTCCTGAGAAACACGAAATCTTCAAAATTATAAAATAACAGATTTTTAGAAACTACCTCCTTGCCATTAGAAATAAAGACTTAAATTATCGAAAGAAATAAAAGAGTTTAGATAAAAAAAGTAAAAAGTATAAACTCAGGTACCTGCTTTAAAAACATCTGTTACAAATAAAGGTTAAAAGAGCCAAATTTTTACTTTTACAATTTTATATAAAGGTCATTTTCCTGCCACTGATGAACAATTTACAAGGAGGAACTATACGCATGACTAACAGTATAATTTGCATGTAATGTAATAGTCAAAAACACTAAAGTTCGGATGACTGATAGATGCGAGAACTGAAGTTGAACTAGTAAACTAAGATATAGACTAAGCACTGAGTCCTTAGCTAAATAATTTGTCACTACCACCCCTGGGAACCAAAAACACAATCAAACAACTGTCGAAATCGGGGAATTGAAGTGTCGAGCAAAAACAAAGCAAGCAAAAATGAAAGAAAGAAATTATATAGTACAGCAAAATATGAGTAGTAAAAAGACAAAACAAAAAGTTTTTATTTTGTCTATGAATGCAAAAAGAACATTGTTAGAAAATTTACTCAAAGCATTGATGGTATAGATGCAAGCTGTTTTCCGATAGGAATAACAACAAACTGATTAGTTTATTCTTAATACATATCTGGATGCATGAGATGCTTGCTGCAGTGCTTGTTATTCACACCAAATTTTTGCAAATATTTGAAAAAAGATTTTAAACATAAATGAACTTGACAAACAAGGGAATTGATGTTCTTTTGTTTTATTTTTTAACAAAATGTGTTGTCTTCAAATGAGCGATAATTCTGTTCACGCCAACAAAGTCAAGCCTATCTTGTGATTACCATGTGCCCAAAAAGCTCAGAAAATCACTCTTTTTGATTTCTTGTCCATTTCTTTCAAACAGACTTAAATATGATTAAAAAAAACAGGTTTCAGCAACCAAAAAGTGAGTGTTAACCAAAAAATATTAGATCGTTTTTAACTTTTCCTAAACATCTTTCCCGTGAACAATAAAATTTTGCAAAAAAATTGTTAATTACCCCTCCACCACGACGATTAGTAACAGCTACATGAACAAATAATGTGCAGTTTTCTAGCAAATCTCCTTCGTTGTTCGATAATGGTATATGCCGATAACCTGAAGCAGCAGCGAAATGTAGCTTTAATTTCCCTCTTTGAGAAAAAAATTCAAAAAAAGACAAGACCGAAAACCGCTGAAACTTAAACTGACCGCTTTGGAGACACTCGAATGGAATAGTGTACTGTCCGATAAAATCGTCCCCGATGAAGTCATCATCAAGTACTAAAAACCTCACTAAAGCTAGTTCCGGCACACTAATTTGGAACTGGAAAGACTCGTCAAATGATGGGTTGACGCCTAAAACAATTGGATTCTAAAGAAGCACATTACTATTAAACAGAATGAAGAATGTTGCTACTATCAATGAAGAATTGTTACTATCAAACCAATAATACCAGTAATTTAGAAAGCAACATCGTTTATGCAGATTTTTGCAGAATTTTTTTAAACTTCTCAATTACAAGTAATCTGTACTTGTTTTCAATATTGGTATCATATAAGATATTTCAATGAGAGCAATTAGATAAGCGGTAGAGCTTTTTTAGCATTTGCGGGTTTGAAGCTTCACTGTTGAAGCTTGTTTCTCACTAAGAAAAAATTTGTTCTCTGAAAAAATAAATTTTCGTTCTCCATTTGATTAAAAAAAATTTTACTATCATTTCTAACAGTCTTTGTTCGCTCTTCAGCACAGTCGGCAGATACACCAAACACCTCCACGACGACAAATGGATCAGACGAATCGCCTTTTGCATTTGAACCTCTTGGTCTGGGAAGCTGTTGGCCGGAAAGAATTCGTAAATGAAGAATCTGAAACTATTGTCTAAAAGATCGGCGATCTTTTTTTAACTTATTTTACTAAAAAAGAACAAAAATGTACTTGAGGAGTAAATGGAAGTTTATCACCAGGCGTATAAAAATCATCTCTCATCAATGAGGGCTTTAGAATGTAGCCGCAACCGCCATTATCAGAAAATCTCCCTTCCTGGAAGGAAAGGTTGACACTGCTATATAGCAAATTAAAGTTCATAACTTGGCTTGGACCAAAGCTGCGATAGTTGAAGAAAAAAAAGCAAAATAACAAAAACCTGCAAATCCATCATTAATCCAGGAGTTTGATAATTTAAAGAAACGAACTGTACCCCGTAATTCCAAAATTCTAGCGGGTTCATATTTGAAGAATCTAGTCTGAAAAAAAAAACAAATAATTAAATTCTTTTTTGAAGTGTATCTAGCAGCGATCCAGAAAAATCGACAAACCTTAATGCATTTGGTATAGCACGAACCAAACAGTCGCGTGAGAACTGTGTGAACTCAGCAGAAGCGTTTTGAAGAATTTTTAAACAGTTGCCTTCAGTAAACGTTATAAGATTGCACTTGTTCGTTACTAAAATGGCCAGCCATTACGAAGAAGTAGTATTAAAGAAAGAAGAGTTATTACCCTCATTTCACAACCTGCATCTTAGTCTATTCTTTGCATTTTTAAAGTTTGCTAATATCAACAACAAATTTTTTCAAAAATAACATCAAAAAAGTCAACTATAAAATAACGTTACTGGAATCGTCATAAGTGGTTGGTAGCTCCTTTTGGAGAACCGGCTTTAACCAGGGACAGATAAGGTCGGACAACTCTTTGCGCAGGACATATCTCCGAACTCGACGATGTACTGGTTTCTGTTGCGGCATTATATAAGGGTCATCTTCGTCTTCAACAACTTCACCAGACTCAGCGTCATCATTTTCCAGCTTTTTACCCTAAAGCTCGAAAAATAACGCACAAGATCTGTGGCAGCTTTTTACCCTAACTTAATTTTATGGTCATAACAACCCATCAATTCCAAAAACAAAAACTTCAAAATACGTATGAATTTGTGAAATCTCTATAAGTTTCTGGGTATCTCTGAGTATACATGTTTTTTGGATAAAAATGTTACAATAACATTTGTTAAAAAGTTCTTGTGATGTATCTAAAGAAGTGTCTCACAATCAAAATAATCTTCATTTGGAGTTCCTCAGGTGAAGGAAGCCGATCTCCATTACACCAATCAACATCATCTATTTTAGACCGATAAAGTAAAGTATCAAGAACGTTTTCTAATGTAGTTGCCAGCACCAGTTGCCAATCCATATTAAGATGTACATAAAGGCGGATAAATAAAGGAAATCTACAAAAAAGCTGATCACTTGAGCAATTGTTTAACGGTTATGTGCAGTATGTAAACTAGGATAAGAATAATTCGTCAGAACATGTTAACAAAAGTGCTAAAACTTCAACCTGGATTTTTCAAAGGCACTATTTTTGATAGCATATAAAGCTTCAGACAACTTTACTTTACGAGCCGTTGTTCCACCGTGAAAGATCATAGGTTCTGTTTCATTCTCAGCTTCATTCGGTTCCCATACATTCACTAAAATTGTTATATCTTCCCTGTTCCACTTGTACTAGTATACTTCTCTCAAACAAGTCAAAATTGAGTGAGATAACTGAGCGCACAAACTCTAATTTTAAATTCATTTTGATTATTTATACATAGAGTTTATTAGAGTTTAGATTTTAGTTTCCTGAAAAACAAACAGCAAAGGTATTAAAAACAGAAAAAATAAAACCTTCAATAAAGCGACAACTTCTCTTCAAAGCATTTGTATAAGCATCGCTGCTTGACGGACCTTTGAGTTGGTCTTCAAGTAGGTATGTTCGATACGAAGCAGCGATAAAATAAGAAGAAAACGGATGATTCATTTCGTGGTATACTTGTTTTCGATTTGTATCATAAATGCCGCAGTCTTCACACAGCAAGTAATTTGTAAAACCTAAAGTTCTACAAGCATCATGCAGAAACTGGTTTTTTATATACTATTGTCAAGCACTCTGTTTGCATAAAAAATTAAAATTTTATCCAAGTCTAGATTTTCAGTTCAAGTTTTCAACCACACAACACTGCTTTTTCTAATAGAAGTTTTCAGTAAAAGCTGTCATAGGATATACTGTTAAATTTTGCAAGATGTGTCTTCATTAATAAAGCTAAATAGGGTTCAAGTCAGCTTTTAAAAGTGATAATCATTGGATAGGTAGATTTAAGTTTTAGAAAACAGCCGACACTCCCTACCGTCAACAGTCATATATCCATTCTTTCTGGCTTCTTCAGCCGGTTCATACTGTTCAATAATCGATTCACACAGGTCTCGCGTCACCCCGACCATCTAAAAGTGGACCTCCAAAATTTTCAAATATTCTTATTAAGAAACTCAAAAAAATTCTCATTTAAGAACTTTAACTTACCCCTTGCTCAGTTTCCAAAAAGATTTGGAAATCATTGCAAGAAAGATAATCTTTGTTTGCGTACCTGACCATCAAAAAATAAATTTCAGGCCGAGTGGCTAAATCCTAAACAGATAGAAGGTTATAGCTACAATTTTAAACCGAAACTGAAGGTTTTTGAAATCAATAATTGCACAGCCTAGAATACGGCTTGCCTATGCAAAAACTTTATACTAAAGCATTCTTCGCGACAGTTTACTGCCTTTTTAGGTTTTATCGTTAAATTTTTAAAGCCGTCAACTGTCTTAAAACAAGTGAAATAGAACAAAAATGTTGTTTCTACACGAAAATTTTAACATTATGTACTTTATAGATGTCAACGAACTGCTCTTTACTGATACCGCTGTGTTGGGAACTGGAAGATTTAAGTACAGCAGCCTCCTAAATAGAAAGCAAGATTTCAAGCAAAGTTTAACTGTATTGGGCACCTACTGAAGAAATTCGCTTAACACCCTGTTAAAAAATTTTGTGACAGACCTTAACTTTATGTGTAACACGCGTCAAAAGTAATCGTTTGTTCATCTGCCTAATTAATCTTATTGCTGTCTTTTCTGAAATATAGCCTTCTTTTTCCAAATCGGCTTCGTCAAATTGCGATTCGATCCATCTAAAGCATTGAATTAAAAAAAAGTAAAAAAACTTTGCTTTTTCAGGCATTTTTGTTGTAGACAGTGAAGCAAATAAGATTCTACTAATACCTTTCGCGTAGTTTAGCCAACGGCAGTGACCCAGATGGAGATTCAGTTTCATCAGGAACTATAAAGTTGAGTGTTTAAAAATTATAATTTACATTCAGTCTATTGAAATATTAACAAGAATACTGTTAACAGCAAACTTTTTTGTCCAGATGTGAGAGCTATCAGACCAGTCACCCAGATGTTCACCTCCTCAGGAGTTCTTGCAATTAAGTCCAAGCAGTCATAGTCATCTCCATAGATTACAGAAAATGCACATTCATCCTTAACAACAAAACGTCTATTTAAAAAAAAAATGTGTAAAAAACAAAACTTGTAAAGAATAAGCAACTTACTGGCATATCACTCATACAGTTCTCACGCGCTCGAAGCAACTCTGTGTTTCTACCAACTCGAATTTCTTTAATAGTGTCGATGGCAACTGTAACAAAACTTAATTTAACTAGTGCAAAAAATGCCTGACATTTTTCGGTTTTACTAATGCTATAGTCAGATAAGCAAACGGTTTCTGATAACATACTTCTAGCTTTGTGTGGCTTCTTATTTGTAGGTGTCCATCTGATATGCGCTAGATCAGTGTCAAGCGTAAACTTTCTTCGAAATTGTTTGACATTTGCC